CACTCATAGATTACTTATAACACTTAGCCCCCTAAAACGGACGTGTATGTGTGTGTGTGTGTGTGTGAATGTGTAGAACTTAAATAGCATCGGTAGTGACCAGGAGAGTGGCATACGCCTAAAGTTATACATCTGTGCCGCTTAATAGTAGGTAAAAGAAAGCTTACTGTTTCTTTTGCTGCGGACATTGCAAGAACTCCTGCTCCCATTTCAACTTCTTGCAGTCCAACAACTACGATCTCAACTCCAGTTGCAGTACAACCAAGCCAAGATACAAGTGAGTCGGTTGACGCTCTGCCCTCTCCAACATTCCATGTACCAGCTAGTATTTTCAGATTCTCTATCCTTGAATATAAAAATTCTTTCCCAGCCAACTCGGCCCGCAGTACATTGTCAAGGGGCCCAGGAGAAGTAACATTCCATCCACGAATACCACCATGATTTGCAAGGGTAAATAAATAACCAGCCCCGATAGCCATTTTTATTACAGGTCCACTATGAGCTACCCATCCACCAAGCAGCTTTCCCTCAAGGTCCAATACCTGAACAGTGCCGTTGGAATAACCAACCCATAGTCGAGAACAAAAAGTGAACATGCATAGAATACCAGAGGACTGGTATGAGAACTCTTGCAAGCAATTACCATTTCCATCCCATCGCATAAGTACGCCATTTGAACTTCCTGTCCAAATAAGTCCATCAACTGATATGACAATAGCCTCAGTTTTCCTACTATCATCACAAAACCCCCCTTTCGTTGCAGCACGACGAACAGCATCAGCTGCTCCCATAAGAGCATTACGAGACCGCTGAAAGAAACCAAGAGATGATTGAGCTTTCTCCTTCTTTGAAGCAGTTATTTTCATCTTGCCCTCTTCCTCACTCCCAAAATCAGGATATACAGAATTTTCAGTTCGATTCTCGAGCTGCCCATCAATGTTGAATACTTTGATCAAATCCCTAGTGCGAGCATCCCTGCCATGCATTTAAGAAACATAAAATAAAAAAGTAGTGAGCTATACAAGTGACCTTAATGGTTCCTGCTAGCAATTGAAGAACTACAGAGCCAAGTGACAAGAGATATTGTAGACAAAAGTATATAATCCCCATTAAGTTTATTGCAGTAATGCTGGATGATCAATCGGAATCAGAAAGGATGATGCATAAGAAAAGCAGAAATAATGAGTCTCAATTTTACCATAAAGCAAACGTTAGGGGGCTAGCACTCCATACTCTTGCCCTTGTATGATCAGATACAAGGAATGTCACATCTGACGTTAATGTATTAGCAAATCCATTGGCAGAAACCATGTTCCTAGGGTCAATATACGATCTCTCTACAGATAACGCAGCCATGTGCCTTTCTTCCATCTTCAAAGAGAGAGACTTCCCAAGAGCGTCCCAGGGCCAAACTTTAAGAGCGCCTCCCTCAGACCCTGACCATATATCTCCTACACAATGGACATCAAAAGTTGTGTTATGAGAGAAGGTTAAACACAGTTCAATTTTCCGCAAGGGTGCCATCATATATTTACATTTTGACATTGCACAAATTGAACCAACTTCGATCACACACTAGTGAAGACAGTGAAACGCTAACTCAACAACACAATTACAAGACGGATAGTTTTGTAGACTACATAAGCTGTTTATACTTTATATGTGTTAGTCAGCATAACAATCTGATTCAGGCCAACCAAATATCATCAAGACTTCTAATTTTGGTCCTCAAACCCAATTTCCACAACAAGAAACTCGATGTCAACATTTGAAATCCTCCTTCTTTCATCTTAAAAAGCTACACGAGCAAACAAGAACTCTATTCCCAAACAGCATAAAAAAGGAAATTAGAAACTTACAATAGAACAACACTCACCATAAGCCGAAACGGCAATGGAGAGAACCGGACCACGATGAGCTTGCCACGACAAAGCTTCTTCAATACCATGATCACCTCTCAATCTCCAACACCTAATCCTCCCATCTCTATGCCCACTCCAAACAACTCTACTACCTTCATCACCAATCATACAAACAACAGCAGACCCAATCTCATTCCCTAAACTCTCCTTATACGGCGCCGTATCCTCTACCTCTAATCCTCTCCCACTTCCATACAATTCACTAAACTCCCAAACTCTCAACGCACCATCCTCACCTCCAGTCCATAATTGTCTCTCAGTACTAGTCATCGTCCTCAAAAACCTCCCAATTTGAGTTTCTCTCAACGGATGAGGTCTCACATCAAGACTCGGTGGTCGATTCGGATGAACCGCTGACCTAATCGGAACTTTGAAGATCCCAGATTCACCACACTTACCAACAAATTCCGGTAGCGAATCGGGGCCGTTTCCATCACCGATCCCGTCGTGGTTACCGTCTTCGCTTAGTCTCCGGTCTAGAAACTGGATCATGTAATCGATTCGTTTGTTGCTGTCGTCGACGGAAGGTTGAGATTCATCGTCGCCGGAGGAAGATGAGGAGGAGTAAGCTGAACGGTTGAAAAGCGTGGATGGAGTCGCGGCGGAGAAAGTAGATTCGTAAGGAGGAGAGAAGAAGGAGAAAACGTCATCGTTTTGATCGTTTTGACGATCTTCCATGAGTAATGGACTTGAAGTTTTACTTGGAGCAGAGAGACTCGAGAGAGAGACGACGAGTTTTTCGGTATTAGCCTAAAAGATAGTATTTTTCAAGAAGCAAAAATGCTTGAAACGTGTTGCTACGAACTTCTCTCTGGTTTTTTATTTATTTTTGTTTTCTAAATTAAAATAAAAGCAAATTGGCTCGGAGAAATTAGTTATTTTAGTAAATCCACTCGTAACCCAAAACAGTAAAGATGGTAGCTATTTTTTTTTTCCCAATTTAACTTCAGGCGTCTTACCATTTCGTTTTGTAGTCGACTTATTACATGAGATAAAACGGCCCGATTGTCATCTCTCTTGATGGGTTCAACGTACTCTGTCGGCTTGTGAGCACACCATCTTTCGACGGTCAATCTGCTACTTCTGGGAGGTTTTAAAGGTTTGTTTACCGACTCTACAAATCACCACATGATCATTCTCTTTGTTTTGTTCTCATTCACACAGTTTCGACAATCACTTCCCGGAAAGTCACTCATCCTGAAATTACTCCAGCTCAAGCACGCTTAAAACTGTGGAGTTCTCTCAAAACGTTTGACCGAAAAGATAAGTGCACTTTGGTGACAAAGATGGTCAAATTAATTCTTTTAAACATCTCCGCATGCACCTCTATATTCCTAAAAATGGGGTGTTACACAAACGTTGATTTTTGATCGTTTTCGAGATGGAAAAGCGTGTCTTTTTATCTCTAGAAACCCAGATAATCAAAATATTATTGTTTTCATTTACTTTTCACGATTTTTGGGTGTCTATTTATGTTAATAGTGCTCAATTTTTCTTTAAAAAAGTTTTTTAGCTATAGACAAAATTTATCGTGCTTCTTATTAGTTCTCGTAATGGAAAAGCGTGTCTTTTTATCTCTAGAAACCCAGATAGTCAAAATATTATTGTTTTCATTTACTTTTCACGATTTTTGGGTGTCTATTTATGTTAATAGTGCTCAATTTTTCTTTAAAAAAGTTTTTTAGCTATAGACAAAATTTATCATGCTTCTTATTAGTTCTCGTACCCGGTATCAGATTTGCTATAGACAAAATAAATTTTGATCATATTTGATGGTTGACGACGTTGGTTCAATGACGGAAACCCGCTAGCAATGATAGATCTAATCAGAGTTACTGTTATAATGAATCTACCTAAAATACGGTGATAACTTGATAAAATCTGATGAAAGTTCCGTGATAATTCAATGGAATCTGATGACAATTAGACGAAATCTAATATGATCTGGTGACAACTCGACGAAAACAGACAAAAATCTTTTGAAAATCCGACGAAACTTATGATTCCATTGATATTTCGGTTTCTAAATAACGATTTATTTACGTGTTTACATGTATACAAATTTTAATAGTTCTTTATATACATATTTACATGCATACAAATAAATTTTAACTCTCTATGTACATGTTTACATGTATACCAATTTTAATAACGCTCTTTATATATTTACATGCATACATAGATCGAAGAACTTAACGCTATCACTATTTTTAACGCTCTATATATGTGTTTAACATGTGTACAAATGTTAAAGTCGTGTAATATATGTTTGTAGTGAACTAAAATTTCTCCAATTTTAGAAAACAACAGTTAATATTAGTCTCACTGTTATTAAATGTCTACTTGCATTACACACATGTCAGAATTAAATGTTTTCGCCTAGAAATATCAATGACGTTATTTCACGCGCATGGTAAAATCCTAGACCGGTTTTTTTGTAATTCTTTTGAACTTTAGACCCATTTGTAACGTAAATTATCCCTCGTCCAAGAAAAAAAAAACTAATATTTTCCTTCAGCTAATTTACTACCCCAATTTTGTCTCCTAGCTAAAGCACCCAATAAAAATCAGTATATATATTTTTTTTTGTATGAATGTAAAATTTATTCACCAAAAAAAGACGGTTTTACAATAAATGCAACATCAAGCTGAAAAAATCTGAGTTTTTGAGAAGGATTATAAAGAAGGGAAAACTAGCGACTATGGGTTTGGAACCAATATCGCAGTCCGCCTTCATAAGTGGGTGAGCCCGTCGTAATTAAGGTGCTCAGCCGGTTACGAACGTTCTTGTCGATCAGTTTTGCTAGCATGGATGCTGGGGTTGGTGACTCGCCGTGTCGTCTTCCATTCCGTTCTCGCCATAGACTGTGGATAGATATCTGAAACACATATCTCAAAACAAACAAATGTAGCTTTGAGGTAGATGGAGCCGTGAGTAAAGGAAGCAGAGTTTCCCATCGTGTTATGTAGTGTTGCCCAAGCATGTCTCGTGTGAGGGCTGACCAGACGTGAGACGAATACGGACAGGAGAAAAAGAGGTGTTCTCTTGTTTCTGTGAAAAATCAGTATATATTATATAGTATTATTTTAATAAAATAACAGTTTCACTCATTCTCCTTCTAAGAATACATATACTACCTCTTTCAGGCTTCATGGACCTTTTAACTAGTCAACAAGAAACCCACATCGTTCATCCCAGTCCTTATGACAGTGTTTCACCAAGTTTTAAGTATTAAACTTGGTGAATCAGAAGTTCCTCTCTTTAGCACCCAATGGTCTGATGCTCTAAGTCAAGGTGAAAACTCAATTGGTAACCGAAAACAAAAAAAGAGGACCAACTGGACACCGAAAGAAGATATGGTGCTAATCTATTCGTGGCTAAACACAATAAAGGATTCCATAGTTGGGAATGAGCAAAAAGCAGATGCATTCTGGAAACGTATTGCGGCCTATTCTGCATCAAGTCCGAAGGTTGCTTGTTTGAAAAAGAGGGAGCCAAGTCACGGTAAGCAAAGGTGGGGAAAGATTAATGACATTGTTTGCAAGTTTGTCGGATGCCATGAGGCTGCAACAACTCATATGTCTAGTGGGCAGAATAATAATGATGTGATGAAGCTAGCATGTAAATATACGCAAATGATTACAAGAAGAAATTCAGTTTGGAGCATGCTTGGAAAGAGTTAAGACATGATTAGAAGTGGTGTGTATCTACACAAACTACTAAAGAGACTAGAATGGCAAAAAGAACAAAGTGTGAGGAGGGTTGTGCACATTCTTCAAGCTCAAACCCACTAAGCCATGGAGAGGATGTAGCACAAGCTTGTCATCTTGGTGTGAAGGCTTCAAACGCCAAAGGTAAAAGGAATGCCACCAATTCAGCCATTGTGGAAGGAGAAGGGAAGTCTCTGTCTGAGTTCCAAAGCATGTGGGAGATTAAGCAGCAAGATTTTGCTTTGAAAGAGAAGTTGAACAAGCCCAAATTGCTTGACAGTCTTCTAGCAAAAACAGAGCCTCTTAGTGAAATAGAAAAAACTTTGAAAAATAAGCTAATTATTAAAGCTAATTAGTTTTGAAATTAATGACATGTTAAGTGATCTAGTTGTGTGTCAAAAGCTTTTTATGAGTTTAACTGTAGTCGGCAGTTTCTAATCTTTGAAAAGATCAATTGTGTTTTTGAGTTTCTGCTCTTGCTTGTTTAGTTATGTTCTTTATTAATCGAGTTTATGTTCTGTATCAATGATCATTTTAAAGTCATCTCTGTTTCATATACTGATGTGCGACTGTTTTGTTCTATGTCTCACATCTTGATGTGTTTTTGTGTAGGTCTCCAGTAAAAGCTAAAGGAAACAAGAAGATTGCAAGTTGAAGAAGAGGACAAAAAGATGGCAAGTTGAAGAAGAGGACAGGTTCACATGGTTCATTTTCGGACCACAAATATTTTGCATATCATACCACAAACATTGGACCACACATATTTTCCGTTGCTATATAAGTCACAATGTATGACACTTAAATTACGACATTCTTCTTTTGCTACTTTTTCTCACAAACTATCACACAAAAATTCTCTTTTTCTACTTCATCAAAAAATTCTCTTTTTCTACTTCATCAAAAATTAGTGGTTTCTTTGTTTAAGAAAATGGCATATTTTTCCCGTAATAATTTAGACGAAACGTTGGATGAAAATTATGATCAATTTTTCGTTCAAGCATTCGTTTGTTATGGTGATCGTCAAAAAGTAACCAAATCAAAGAAAAAACAAGCATGTATTGAAAGAGATCGCGAACAAGAACATATCCAATTATGGAACAATTATTTCAGAGAAAATGCAATATTCCCTTTTTATACATTTTGACGCCCTTTTTGGAATGAACAAGCCCTTGTTCATGCGTATTGTTGATCGGCTCTCCATGAAGTTCTATTCTTTGAATAAAGAAGAGATGCTACCGGAAGGTTCGGTCACTCGGCACTTCAAAAGTCTATAGCAGCAATTCATATGATGGCATATGGTTGTGCGGCTGATGCGGTTGACGAATACCTCCGGGTTGGTGAAAGCACTGCGATTTCATGCTTGGAACATTTTGTTGAAGGAATCATATATTTATTCGGAGATGAATACCTAAGAAGACCCACACCAGAAGAGTTTTAACGACTACTCTATATTGGAGATCTACGTGGATTTTTCGAGATAATAATAAGCATCAGTTGTATGCTTTGGGAGTGGAATAATTGTCCCACCGCTTGGAAAGGGAAATATACATTTTAGAGGTTGTACCTTCCCAAGATCTTTGGATATGGTACACGTTCTTTGGACTTTCAGATACCTTAAACGATATCAATATTCTTGATCGCTCACCAATAGTCGAGCTCCAAAAGTGAATTACTTAGTCAACGAGAACGAGTATCATTTGGCTTACTGTCTCACTGATGGAGTTTATCCAAAAACTACATTTATCCAATCTATATCAATTCCACTAGGTCCGAAAGCATCTTTATTTGCTACAAATCAAAAAGCTTGCCGTAAAGATGTCGAGCATGTTTTTGGAGTTTTGCAAGCTCGATTTGTCATTGTAAAAATCAAGCTCTTATTTGGAATAAGGTAAAATAGGAAAGATAATGCCAGCATATATAATACTTCACAATATGATAGTAGACGATGAACAAATGTATACACTCAGTTTGATGTATCCGAAATTGCACAAGCGGAAACAACCAGAACTTCACGAGTGGATTACACCTATTCTACAGATATGCCTTCAAATCTCGGAAATATGATGGGCATTCGAACTCGAGTTCGTGATCAAGGTATGCATCAAGAATTGAAAGCTGATTTGGTTGAGCATTTATGGCAAAACTTTGGCACGGATCAAGATTACAACTAATATTTATTCTGGTTTTTGATTTGCACATCTATTTTTTATATGCTTTTATGTCATGTATGTTTAAAATTTTATGAATTGCAATAACTATTAAGTATTATAAACTAAAAAGTGTTTACAATTTAAAGTTATTAAAATAATCTTTTTTTTAAGAACGGGTTCTACCATTGGACAATGACAAATTTAAGAACTCTAACAAAAGCTCTTAACAAAAACGAAAAAAAAATTTGGCCCACCATAAATACAATTAAAGTTTTTTTTAATAAAAAGTTCATGTTTTGGTTTGAACTCGTTACGAATATTCTTGTGTACTACATATACAAAATAATGATTTAAATGTTAACTAGATTTTAACCCGCGGTACACCGCGGGATGATTTAATTTTAAAGTTAGTATAAAAATATTTTGTAAATTGTATCTCCTTATAACATATTTATTTATATTATAGTTTACAATTGTTATTAAGTAACGGTATACCACGAGTCCACGAGATAATTATTAATAAACTGAAGATTTAACCCGTATTAAAGCGGTATATAAATATTGATTCAAATTCGTCCGCCATATAAATCATTTCCGAAATATAACCCGTTCCGTAATTTCTTAACCCGTCCTGTGATTTGTATTAAAAAAATAAGGATTAAATCCGTATTGAAGCGGCGGATTAATGATATTTTAATCTTTTTATTATTGTTGATTCAAAAACCCGTCCCGCCAAACCCATCCCGCCATAAAACTCATTTATTTTATTAATGTTCTTATTTATGATATGATTCTGAATCATTGTCTAAATATTTTAATCGATGTAGAACGTTGAACACACATTTTCGTCAATTGGATAATATATGTCCGTTTTTAAAATTTCGAATCACAGTATATGCAGAAAAAAAATTGATTTTTTTTTTTACTTTATGTATTATATGATGATTCAAAACAGTTAAAAACAAATCAAACAAAGATGATAGGAGAATCATAATTATAAATCTTAATCAAATCTTCTAAAAATCTAAATTATTAAATATGGAATATCCGGTGTATGAGCTGGGTTAAATATAACCCGACCCAACAATTTTTTTGTGAAGAAATTTTTTAAATGGGTCGGGTATCCGATATACCAGAAAGCTTTTTTACCCACCCGTCACAAAAAGTGCTGCGATTATACTAGTATAGATAATTTTTCTTTATCTTTAACTTCAATTGCATGTAGTCACTAAATCTAAAGATATCGTTGATTCGTTCGTAGATAAACAATTAAAAAAAAGAAGTGTGATATGTCCTAAACTCCTAATTAATCAACTAGATTTTAACCCGCGGTACACCGCGGGATGATTTAATTTTAAAGTTAGTATAAAAATATTTTGTAAATTGTATCTCCTTATAACATATTTATTTATATTATATATAGTTTACAATTGTTATTAAGTAACGGTATACCACGAGTCCACGAGATAATTATTAATAAACTGATGATTTAACCCGTATTAAAGCGGTATATACATATTGATTCAAATTCGTCCGCCATATAAATCATTTCCGAAATATAACCCGTTCCGTAATTTCTTAACCCGTCCTGTGATTTGTATTAAAAAATAAGAATTAAATCCGTATTGAAGCGGCGGATTAATGATATTTTAATCTTTTTATTATTGTTGATTCAAAAACCCGTCCCGCCAAACCCATCCCGCCAAAAAACTCATTTATTTTATTAATGTTCTTATTTATGATATGATTCTGAATCATTGTCTAAATATTTTAATCGATGTAGAACGTTGAACACACATTTTCGTCAATTGGATAATATATGTCCGTTTTTAAAATTTCGAATCACAGTATATGCAGAAAAAAAATTGATTTTTTTTTTACTTTATGTATTATATGATGATTCAAAACAGTTAAAAACAAATCAAACAAAGATGATAGGAGAATCATAATTATAAATCTTAATCAAATCTTCTAAAAATCTAAATTATTAAATATGGAATATCCGGTGTATGAGTTGGGTTAAATATAACCCGACCCAACAAATTTTTTGTGAAGGAATTTTTAAAATGGGTCGGATATCCGATATACCCGAAAGCTTTTTTACCCACCCGTCATAAAAGTGCTGCGATTATACTAGTATAGATATATACAACAACAAACAAAATTTGTCTTCTAAATTATTATATAATTTATTATTTTATATATTTGTAATTTAAAAAGCATTATAACATTTGACTTAGTATTATTAATTTATTAATATGTTTTTTAACTGTTGTAGACGTTTCATACCATCACTACATATCCACAATGTGATAATACTGATTTCAATATTTTCTATACTTACGGTCCTTATAAAATCTTGCTTTCGGTGCAAGTTTCTGCAAAACCTTGGAGCGAACACATATCTTTATCATGCTCATGATATGCAAGATAGCTCTCATCCTCGTGTGTTTCACCATATAGATTTTAGTTCTTACTCTTCCCAATAAACAGGCAAAATAAATATAATAGTGGTTTGAAAACTTATGTGTACGTATAACCACATAGATTTCAATCTTTGGTAGGTCACCACTGTGCCTTGAAGCCATGGCTCTAGTGGGCATGTAAATCCCCGACTCACCGCGTTCATTAGTCAATAGATTTGCTTGACTAGTCACACGTTTGTGTTAGTTGCTTTTGTGGCTCTTGTTAGAACAACAAATCCAAAGTAGCCATGGATTTGAGATGATCTCCAGTTAAAGGGTGCATCCCCAATCTGTTTTCTTTATTCAACAGACTGTCTTACAATAAATAATTCACGACTTTTGTGTTAAAAAACAACACAAAAGTAATGAATATAGTCATCTCGCCATTAAAATATTATATTAAGTGAAAATTTGTGATATATGGAAGCTTAAGGGACTTTCTTGAATAATGAGTAGCCCTTGATTGAGGAAGTATAAGCGCATTTAAAACTGGACCTACAGTTTCAATAAATAAGCGATCCAAATATAATACTCGATGTTGGATGTTGGTGGAACAATACACAATATTAAGCACTTCGAATTCTCAAACATAACTAAAGTGTAGAAACAATTCTAACATCGGAAGATAAGTGAAAGAATGGAAGTGTGTTGTTAAAATTGTGAGAGTCACATCTAGCTTGAACAATTTCACAAGTAATATGTAAAATAATTTGAATACTATAAATCACCACACAAACTTTTCTTAATAGAATTACATCTATAAAATTAATTCCTACAACTAGTTCTTTTTCTAAAGGAACTAAATTAAAAGAAACTAAAAGTTATGTGTTATACACATCATATTAATTTGATCATATTGTTAGATGTGGTCTATATTGTATTTTTTTTTTATATCACTTGCATTCATATATAGTATAAATTCTTTGTTATTTTGGTCAATATGCGGTACATCGTGTTTTTTTTTTTAAATAAAAATATTACTTGCATTTATAAACACTAAGTTTGAACGAAAAAAAGCAGATTACAGTATATGTCAAACATATAATGTGGAACAAGTGTTGACCAAACAAATCGAGCATAACAAGTACAAATCAAACATATCATGAAGTATAAAATGTATGTTTGAACAATAAAAAAGTAAAAAAAAGTGGTACGATACAAATGATTGAAATTTTAAAAATAATATAAAAAAGTTTGAACAAAAATTGTA